AGTCTATCCTGTTTGGGGTTTGTTGGACTTCTTGAATGGATATATTCTCATCTTTCATCATAGCAGGGAAATTCTCTTCCAACAAATCTTTGACAATTTTCCGTGTGGTTTTATTTGTCTCTTCCTGTTCTGGAATTCCAATTACATGTAGGTTATTTCTCTTAATGGTATCCCACATGAACCTTAGGTTTTCTTCATTTTGTTTTGATCTTTTTTTTAATTGATCCCTTTCCAAAGAAGTATTGAGGTATTTGTCTTCAATCTCACTAATTCTGTCTTCCATTGGTTCAATTTTACTCCTTTGCTCATTCAATGTATTATCTATTTCTGAGAATTTAGTATTAATCTTCTGGATTTCTATCTGTAGATTTTATATCATTTCTAATTTTTCATTTATTTTGTTATTTTGTTCTGGTATTGTCTTCCAAAATTGTTCTAGGGTTTTGCCTGTGTTTTCCTCAATTTGTTCAGTGTTTTCCTTGGTCTGTCTCTCAATCCTTTGAAGATACTTAAATATAATTCTTTTGAATTCCTTATCAGGGAGTTCCAATGCTGCTTCTTCCTCAGGAATGTGTTCTGGGTCTGTATCCTGGTCCTTTGTTTCTACTGCTTTACCTTGATTCTCTGTGTGGACTGTGATGGTCCATTGTCTCTGAGACATTGTGACGTTTTTGTGTTTATTTTTAAGTGGTGCATGTGTATTGGAGTGATTTGCCCAAGATTTTAATTTTCTTTGTTTTGTTTAGATGTACCTGAGGAAGCAGGATACTGTGTTCCTCACTAGCTGGCAGCACTTATGCACTCACCACCTGTCTCCTTTCCAGTTGTTAGCCTCCCGTAAGTCTGTGCTGTCCTTGGCAAGGAAAGCCTATTCTTAGGTCCCTGGAATCTGAACGAGAATGCTGTCACTTTAAATATGCAAAATTCCCACCACCTGTAAACATTCAAAATGGCTGCACCCTCTGGACAGCCAAAAGTCCACAGCTCAGTTTGTCTCCTTCTTTCCTGTTTTCCTTTTTAGTTATCAGCCACCAACACAGTTGTCTGTGCAGCCCTTGGTGAGCAGGGCCAAATTTTAGGTTAATTCTCAGGTCATAACATCACTTGGAAATATTCAAACTGTCTGCGCCATCAGTCTAGCTGACATTCCACAGCTCTGTTTGTCTCCTTATTCACTGCTCTCATTCAGGTTCTTCTGCTAGTTGGTGTTTAATCCACTTCTGTATCTTTCCTTTCAAAGCTCAGAGCTCCAGGATTATCTTCTGCATCTGTGTCAATTGGTTTCTGTTTTCTTTGTTGAAGAGGGTCTGTGTAGCTTGTCTGCCTATTCCACCATCTTACTGGAAGGCTACATCAAAATTTTAAAATGCTGTGCTTCAAAGAACACCATCAAGAAAACCTAAAGGGGAATATTAGGACTCTTCTCCATTGCTGGTGGAAATGCAAAATGGTATAGCTGTTGTGGAAAACAGTGTGGCAGTTTCTCAAAAGACTAAAAATAGAACTATCATATGACCCAGCAATTTCTCTCCTAGGTATATACCCGAAAGACTTGAAAACAGAGACTCAAAAAGAGACTTGAACACCAATGTTCAATGCTGTACTATTCAGTCACCAAATGGTAGAAACAACCTAAATGCCCATCAACAGATGAATGGATAAACAACGTAATACTACTCAGCCAGTAGGAGAAATGACGTCTTGATACATGCTACAGTATGGACAGAGCTTAAAGATATTATCCTGAGCAAAATAAATAATCACAAAAGGACAAATATTGTATGATCTCCCTTATACAAAAAAACAAGAAAAGGTAAATGTATAGAGACGAAAGTTTATTAGTGGTTATCAACGGCAGAAAAGAGGTAATAAAAAGAGGTTAATGGTGATGAAAAACATCACACTGATTATGGGTAAGTTGCAAAGCCAATTACTACAGTTACTGTCATTAAGTTGTATGCCTGTAAAAAGTTGAATTGGCAAAAGTTGTGTGATAGATATATTTACAACAATGACCAAAAAAAAAAAAGAGTGACTGCTGAGGCTGCTTATGTGTCATAAAAAATCTGGTTTAGAGGTTTAGGATGACAGTTTCATGGACATCCCAGTTAATTGGCCTATAATATATTTAATGCTCTGTTCTACCTTCTAGTTCACTGTGTAGTATCTATGGTCTTAAAAGCTTGCCAAATACCTTCAGATCTGGAATTGAGCCCACTCCTGTAGCTTCCAGCCAAACCAAAGAAAGGCATATGAGCTGAATATTTACATTAGGTAGATACACTCCTTAGAGAGATCAATCATGAGAGAATAGAAGGGCTGTGCATGCACAGGGTGGCAGCTTGTGGGGGCAGAAGTACATGGGAGGGGAGCTATTGCATTGTGGTAAATTGTAGTCAATGTCATGAGACAAAGTGTATGTCAGCTGCTGTGTGGAAAGTGAATTTGTTCTGTAAACTTTCACCCAAATCACAAAAAAAATTTAAAAAGAAAAAAAAACCTTGCAAGTAGCCATCTAAGGCACAATAATTGGTCTCTATTCACCTGGAACAATGGAAGAAGGAGAGTCAGGAGTAGGAGAAGGATATGCAATATGTGGCTAATTGCCTCTAGGAACAAATCCCTCCTTTTCCATGAGACCAGAAGAACTAGATTGTACCTGGCTACCATTACTGAACATTTTGATCAGCGATTCCATAGAAGAATCTTGATCAAATGGGAGAGAATACAGAATAAACTTTCAAATTCACATGGACTCTAGAGTTTCTGGAGCCATGGCGAGAGAGTGAATTCCTGAAACTATTTGTTTATGTGTTGCTGTGTAATTCTCAACAACTACCACAAAATAAATAAAATTTAAAGAGGAAAAGAAAAGTGAAAAGAAAATCTACAGAATGGGAGAAAATATATGCAAATCATACAAACCTGGTAAGAGACTTATATACAGAATATAACAAGAACTTCTACAACTGAGAAATGAAAATATAATAACCAATTAAAAAGTGGGCAAAGGACTTTTTTTCCCTATCTGCAAATCTTTTTTTTTTTTTTAATTTTTATTGTGATTTGGGTGAAAGTTTACAGAGCAAATTCATTTTCCGTACAACAGTTCATACACATTTTGTCTCATGACATTGACTATAAATTCCCACAATGTAACAGCTCCCCTCTTACTTCCTCCCCATAGTTACCTCTTCCCTGTGTCCTTCCCTCCCAGGCACTCCTGCCCTCCCCCATTCCCCAGCATCTCCCTGTGCATATACTGCTCTTCTGTTCTCCCATGTTTGATCGCTCCAAGTAGTGTGTCTACCTGATGTAAATGTTCAGCCCATATACCTGTCTTTTATTTGGCTGGAAGCCACAGGAATGAGTTCAGTTCCAAACCTGAAGGGCAGCTAGAGACCATAGTCTCAGGGGTTTCACCAGGCTCTATTAGACTAGCAAACCTGGTCCCCACTTTTTTTTTTAAATGATTTTGAGTTTTGTTCCACATTCTTCTCCTATCCAGGGTCTCCTACACAGATCCCCCTCCAAGTGGTTGATAGTGGTAGCCGGGCACCAACTAGTTCTTCTGGTCTCATGGTCATATAGGCTGAAGATTGCATGGCCTGCCAGTCCCTTGGGCTAATTGTTTCCATGCATCTTTGGTTTTCTTCATTCTTCTTTGCTCTGGATGAGGAGAGACCCATCACTGCATCCACATGGCTGCTTGCAGGCTTTTAAGATGCCAGTTGCTACTCATCAAAGTAGATTGTGCAACAATGTTTTTGTGTAGTACATTATGCTAACTGAGCTTGATGTCCCCTGCCACCACAGTCAAAAGTGAGCAAAGGATTTGAAGAAATATTTTACCAATGATGATATATGACACATGAAAACATGCTCAACATCATTAATCAGTGAGGAACTACAAATCAAAGCCACAATGAGATACTGCTTCACATGTACTAGGGATGGCTAAACTAAAAAAGATAGACAATAACAAGTATTAGCAAACATGTGGAGACACTAGAATCCATACTCATTTCTCACGGGAATGTAAAATAATATACTTTTTGGAAAACAGTTTGGCAGCTCCTCAAAATGTTACCACTTGACCTAGGAATTCTACTCTTAGGTATAGACCCAAGATAATTAAAAACACACATTTACATAAAAGTCTGTACATGAAGGTTCACAGAAGCATTATTTATAAGTGCCAAAAAGTATAAACAACCAAAACATCCATCAATAGATGAGTGGATAAACAAAATGTGGTGTTATAGCTATACATTGTAATATTATTTTGCAATAAAAAGAAATGAAGTATTGATATATACTGCAATATATAAATCTTGGAAACATTATGCTAAGTAAGATAAGCCTTTCACAAAAGACCACACAATGTATGATTTCCATTTATATGAAATGTCCACAATAGGCAAATCCATAGAAACAAAAACTACATTCATGCTTACCAGGAGCTGGGGAAGCGAAAATAGGGAGTGATTGCTAATGGGTATAAGATTCCTTTGGGGGTGATGAAATGTTCTGAAATTAGACAGTGGTGATAGTTGCACAACTCTGTGAATATACTAAAATTTAAACTGTATTCCTTAAAAAGGTGAATAATATGGTGGTGGTGGTGGTGTTGTTATGTGCCGTCGAGTCGGCCCCGACTCATAGCGACCCCTCCTTGGGTTTCCGAGGCAGTATCACTACGGAAGTAGGATTGCCCAACCTTCCTTCCGAGCACTGGCTGGTGGGTTTGAACTGCCAGCCTTCTGGTTAGCAGTCAAGTGCTTTAGCCATTATGTACATTAAATGTCAATGAAGATATTTTAAAAAAATCACAGTCACATCGTAATTTCTTTAAGTTGTTCCCTAATATTAGAGTTTATAAATTACATAGATGTAGAGATACACAAAAAAGCTAAAGATTTTTTATTTATTGTTCAATGTGAAACATCACTAAGAAAATACTAGTTATAAATACTACAGGCTCAAGTGAAATGCCATACCTTCCCGCATTGCTTGTAGGAAATTCCCTTCTTGTTACAGTATTCATAGATGAGGGCTGCACCTTGTACACATAATTTAGCTTTCAGAGATTCAGGTTTATAATAAATTCCACTATGTATGACACCACTGTTATGTCCAGTCTGATGAAGAGCTACAGAACAAGAGAAACTGGTAAGAAAACATACATCACTCACATAAAACCTAAGAGGTGGGGAAACAAACATATATTTGAAGCTATAAGAAACTACATCACTTAAAATTCTGCCTGAATTTGTTCTTAGAATCAGAGTATAGATCATTTCCTTTAATAACCGTCCCTGGTGTGTGGTCATATTCTCCCCAGTTCACTTCTGATTTCAGCTACACCTGTGATACAGACTTACCTCTCACTCCCAGCAAATCCAAAGGGCCCACTATGGCTCTCTACATTATGGTCCTGGGCCTTTTCTAATGTGTTTGAAGGGAAAATGGGGGAACTTCAACACCCTTAGGGGTAATCCTCAACCAACAGGGACAGGGGCAGATGGATAAATGAGCATAAATCTAGGAAATATTAGGTATCTCATCAGAGGTCCAAGTGGCATCAAGCTCACAGCACTGACAGTGGTAATGTACCCTCACGTGGCTTTTCTTCCCTCCCTGTCTTACTTTCCCATTTCCTTATTCCTGCCTCCTGGGATAACCTTTCAAATAAATCATCTACATCCAAGTCCTTGTCTCAGGCTCAAACTAAGATACTGACATCAACATTCAGCATCAAAGATGTAGCACTGACAAAATGAGCAGGTGTTCAAGTAAGCCAGACGAACACTGATAACATACATACCTAAATCTTTCTCCTTTTCCAGAAGACCGATAGAAAGTGCTGAATGCCGCTGGATCAGTGCTCTGGCAGAGGCAAGTCCCACAATTCCGCCACCAACAATGACTACATCAAATGAGCTTTAAGAGAAAATCATCCTTAAAGTCATGCCCGTTTAGAGTAGACCACACCAAACTTCACAAGAATAGTTTTCATCATTAGTGGACAAATACATAACTTTTGTTTTTTTTTTAACCAAGCCATCCTAAGTCTTGATAGCACCCACCCTTAATATCAATGATTCCTTTGTGTCAAAAATTACGCTCCTCTACTTCCTGTCCTTTTAAAACTCAAGTGCAGGAAACAGCCAGTGAATATATCAAACTGTATAGAAATAAGTAGCCCAAGAAAGGCTCAGAATCACTATTTTAGCCATGACAAACCATGATTACGCAACTATTGAAAAAATTTGAAAGGGCACATATGATAGTACCTAACTCTGCAATGACAGTTTATAGTGAACAAATCTATGTTTTATAGGACCAATAATGTGACAAAATTTCAAGTTCAAGTCCTTCCTTTGAAAAGTGATCTGAGGTTTCAATTTCAAAATTATTAGCAGAAGCACATCAATTTGAGTACATTTGTTACCATATCTGTGGCTACATTTGGAACTAGAAACAAATACTGGACAACTAGGGACAGTGCCATGTGTGCATGATAAATCATTATCTGCATCTTAACCTGGAAGTCACAAGTGCCTAATGTTAACTCCTTTAGTGCACGAGCCTCATAACTTGGATTGGGAAAGCCTCCAGGTGGTGCTCAAAAGGTGATTCTCACTTGCAGCATCTTTATACAGTTGGATGAAATGGTTATGAAGGTGTGCATGTGATGGTGACACATAATTCAGAAGTGAGAATATAAAAACAGCGGCACAAGTGAAACGAGACTCTGGGTTCACTGTCAATAGGGGTTATTGGTAAATGCTTGCAGTGGTCAACTTAAATATTCCTGTGGTCAGAATGTGCTCAGAAGTCCAAGGCTTAAAATAGTTTTGTTTTTTTAATGTAAATTTCACTCCATAAAAGGAAAAGTGTCACATTCCTTTATAGTTATTTACACTGATCTGCAGCTATTGACTCATAATATAACTTTCAAAATAAGCAGATCTTTTATGACATCTAAAATCAAAACAAAACAAAAAACCCACCACTCCTCTGTCAGTTGTGGTACTGGAGTGGCTTGCAGGTTGCTGTGAGGTGCAAGGTATGCCACTAGTATTTCAAATACCAGCAGAGTCACCATGGTGGACAGATTCTAGCACAGCTTCCAGCCTCTCAGACTAGGAAGAAGGACCTGACAAGCTAGTTCTTAAAAAAAAGAAAAAGGGGGGGGGGGGCTAAAATGGCCTATGAAAAACATATAATTAGCAGAACTTTGTTTGACACACTACTGGAAGATGAGACCCTTAGGTTGGAAGGCACTCAAAATATGACTGGGGAAGAGCTGCCTCTTCAAAGCAGAGTTGATCTTAATGTGGACGGAGTAAAGCTTTCAGGACCTCATTTGCTGATGTGGCATGACTCAAAATGAGAAGAAACGACTACAGACCAAAGGTGGGTAGTTCAAATCCACTAGCTGCTCTGAGGAAGAAAGATGTGGCAGTCTGCTGCCATAAAGATTATAGCCTTGGAAACCCTATGAGGCAGTTCTACTCGTCCTATATGGTTGCTATGAGTCGTATTCAAGTCCAAGGCAATGGATTTTTTTTTCTTTCTTCATGCATGACGTCCTTGATGTTACCCCACAACTCCTGTGATCTTCTGTCATTAGTGTTCAGTGTGTCAATCTATTTATGAGATGGTCTCTAAAGTCAAGTGGAATATAAGTAAGGCCATACTTTGGCTTTCATGGATTTAATTTTCTTCAGCTTCCACTTGAATTTGTACATGAGCAATTGATGGTCTGTTTCAGTCAGCCAGTGGCCTTGTTCTGACTGATACTGAGCTTCTTTATTGTCTCTTTCTACAGCTGTAGTCAATTTGATTTTTGGGTATTCCTTCCAGTGAGATCCACGTGAAAGGTTGCCATTAATGTTGTTGAAAAGCAGCATTTCCAATGAATAGGTCATTGATCTTGCAAAATTCTACCACGTGATCTCCAGCATCACTTCTATTACCAAAGTCATATTTTCCAACTACTCTTTGTTTTCAACTTATGCATTACAATCACCAGTAATTATCAATGCATCTTGACTGCATGTTTCATCAATTTCAGACAGCAGAAGCTGCTAAAATTTTCAATTTCTTCATCTTCGGCATTAGTGGTTGGTATGTAAATTTGAATAATAGTCGTATTAACTGACCTTCCTTGTAGGCATACGAATATTATACTATCACTGGCAGTGTTGTATTTCAGGATTGGTCTTAAAATGTTCTTTTTTGTCAATGAATATGATGTCGTTCCTCTTCATTTTGTCATTCTGTAATAGTAGACCATATGTTGTCCGATTCAAAACAGCCAATTCCAGTCCATTTCAGCTCACTAATGCCTAGGATATCAATTTTCAAGTGTTCCTTTTCATTTTTTTTCTATTTATTTTTTTAACTGTGATTTAAGTGAAAATTTATAGAGCAAATTGGTTTTCTATTCAACTGTTTATATACGTTTTTAAATATTTATATTCGTGACACTGAATGAAGTCTCAGTTTAACAGCACTCTTCCCACTTCATTCCTGTGGTTACCATTTCTTTGTCTTACCTTCCTATCCATTCCTGCCTTCCGAGCTTTATCCCTGGACAAATGCTGCCGCTTTGATCCCCTATGGTCGACTGTTCTAAGGAATGTGTATCTCCCTGGTAAGACTGTTCACCTCACAGGACTTTCTCTTGTTTGGCTTTAAGTTGGGCCACAAAGCTGAGTTCAGTTCCAGGCTTGAAGGGTGACTAAAGGCCACGGTCTCGGGGGTTCCACTAGTCTCAATTAGACTAGCAAGCCTGATCTTTTTTTATTATTTTTAGTTTTCGTCCATTCCATTTCATTTTAGACAACTTCTACATTTCCTAGATTAATACTTGTACATTCCATGTTCAAATTATTAATAGATAATTAATCATTAATATGCTCATTCACGGCCATCAAATTAATAATTATCCATTAATAATTGCAGTTGTTTCTTCTTATTCTGAGTCATGCCATATCAGCAAATGAAGGCTTTACTCCATCTATGTCATGAAAGGCAGCTCCACTATGAGGAGGCAGCTCTTCCCAGTCATATTTTGAGTATCTTTCAACCTGTAGGGTTTATCTTCCAGAACTATATCGGACAACATTCCACTGCTAACCATAAGGTTTCCACTGGCCAATTTTTCCACAAATAGATTGTCAAGTCCTTCTACTCAGTACATATTAGTCTGCAAGCTCCGCTGGTATCTGTCTACCATGGGTGATCCAGCTGGCATATGAAATACTGGTGGCATAGCTTCCAGTATCAAAGCAACATGCAAGCCACCATAGCACAATAAACTGACAGGTGGTCTGTCATGGGACGGTACTCAGCAATACAAAGAAAAGATGTATTGATACACACAACCAGCTGGATCAATCTCAGAGACACAATGCGAAATGAAAAAGGCCAGTCTCAAATCATAACATACTGTATGACTCCACTTATTCTCAAAATGACAAAATTAGAGATGGAGAACAGATAAGTGGTTGCTAGCGGTTAGGGAGGTACAGAAGGAAGTGTGAATTTAAAAAGGTAGCACATGGGATATCTTTGCAGTGATGAAACATTTTTGTATCTTAATTATGAGTGGGTTACACAAATTTACACATATGATTAAACTGTATAAAAGTACACACACACAAGTGCATGTAAAACTGGTGAAGTGTAAACAGGTCTGTGGCTTTTACCAAAGTCAGTTCCTTGTTTTGATACTGTTGTTGTTGTTGTTGTTGTTGTTCTTGTTTGCCGTCGAGTCGTGTACTACAGGTATGTAAGATGTTACCACTGGGGGAAACTGAGTAACGGATACAGGGGACCTCTCTCACTCTTCCTTCTTTTTTTTTGCTGTAAAATCCTATAGATCTATAATTGTTTTAAAATAAAAAGTAAAAACAAAACCTTTCACTAACCCTACTCTTCTTAGGAAACTTCCAAAAGAATTGTCTACATAATCCACAATCACAAATCTTAGTAGTAGTATCTCACTTGAATGCCCCTCCCATCCACTAACACACAGTAGCCAGAATCAACTTTTGAGACATCAATATTTAAACATTCCCGTTCTTAAAACCCTTTAATAACTTCCATTAATCTTAGAATAATATTCAATGTCTGGTTAAAATAGAATGAAAACCTGCTGTGACGTAGCCCCTCTCCAGACTCATTCCACATCAACTTGTACGCTAAATTCGAGTCACATTAATATTGCCCACCTTCTAGTCCTCGAGATAGTAAAGGGCTTTCTAGCCTTGATACCTTCGCACAAACCATCCCTCCAAACAGGGCAAACATTGGTTTCAAACGTGACTGCAAACTTTCCCGCCACATGACACTGAATTGCTTCTCCCAGAAGCAACTCTATGCAGTTCTCACTAGGAACTGGCTTATTTCAAACTATCGCAGATTTTCCAGGCAACATCAGGGATGCCAGTTAACACCGTATTTATCGATTGCTTACAACACGTTAAGCGCTAAATCATTTCATTCTCAAAACCCACCTGCCACTCCTCGGAAGGAAGGTTGGGCAATCTACTTCTGCAGTGATACCGCCTCGGAAACCCAAGAAGGGGTCGCTATGAGTCTGACTCCACGGCACATAACAACAAAACGGGAGAGACTAGGTTCCTTTTCACAAATGAACCTTTAAGGAGATTAAGATGAACGCTCAAAGTTAAACTGCAAGTGGAGGGATTGTATGCAAACCCATAACTGTTCTTGACCTTTATTCAACACTTCATCTATTCTTTTCCTTTGGCCCACAAATACAAGGAACGCAACCTACAAGCAGTTCCTGGGATCTGAGGTTGGAGCCTGGGCTCCACAGGACCTTGACCTTCTCTCTTTCACCGGACAGGGAAGTACGGGCGACTATCGGTCCTGCACAGGACACCTCTGATAGCAGAAGCGGTGCAGGTGGCGGGGGCGGGCCAGCGGACACTCACCTAGTGCTGGCTCTGCGGCCATAGCTGCAATCTCCGCGCAGCAGCCACCGCCTCCCTTGCGTTGGCCTGCACGCTCCGAAGCAGCCCCCGCCGGCCCGCCCGCAGGCACCACCCAGGTAGCGCAATGTTGGCAACATCCCTCACGCCTCCTGCCTTTCCTCAACCACCAGAGGTGGTCACGTGAGCGAAACACCAAAAGGGTCCGGACGTACTCTAGCCCCGCCCACTCACGTAGGGGCCAATGAGGCGCGCGCCTTTGCCTCACGTGGGAGCCTCAAGCGGTGGCCAATAGGAGCGCCCAGTTGAGGGCGAAAGGCTGGCCGGCGCGGCCGCAGATGCGTGGGACGTTCGCTAGCTCCCTCCCTCCCTCCGACGCTGTAAGTAGGCCATCTAGGCCCCGAGCGAAGCGGGGCGCGGGTGGTGCATACTTTCCGCCCTTTTTCCTCTCTCTTCGCTGGGCTGACTGAAAAGCTGGTCCACCAAGTTGCATGTCTTTGACTTTAACCCCTGAGCGTACTTAGGGCTGCAAGACAATGTCTTGGCGTGGTTAAGGCGAAAACTTCGTTTGGGCGTGCCCAGAGGCCCCCCTTCTCCCTGTAAGCCCCGCCTCGTTGGGCTGCGCCGCTGGCCTGCTCCAGGCCCCTAGCTAGGCACCCGCGGTCTCTAACCCGGCCCGCTGCGAAGGAGCGCCCCTAGTTCTTTGTCATGGCAACGCCTGCTAACCTGAAGTCTTCTGGATTGCTTTTTATGGGGCTTCTGGGGGTGTCATTCATTCAGTCATTACTTCATCCTGTAAATATCAAACCCTACATTTCTCCAGCGGGCACTGTAGTACCCAGTGAACAAGACAGCTCGGTCTCCACCGTCAAGCAATCTTTGCCCTTTTCTTGGTGAACCGAGATTCAGTGTCAGATACACTGTATGGGCTTGGGACCAGCGACTGCCAGCCAGCAAGTAACTTCACCGCTGTTTCCTTATCGGTAGAATGAAGGAGGTGAGCTCTGTAATCTCTAAGGCATGTTCTACCGGTAAAATGTAATTTATCACAGTGACAGTTTAATTTTAACCGTTAATTACTGTCCGTGCTTGAAGGCAATTTTTACTGTTTAGAGCAGGGCAAAAATTGCATACAATTTTATTGCTGGAAGGACTACTTGCCTGTTCGAACCGTGGCACATATTGGCCTGATGACTTTGGGAAGTCATTTCCCCTCTTCCTCAGAGTCGCCTCTGTGAACTAGGAGTACGGTAATGTCTTCCTAACAGGGTTATTGAGCTGATTATGTAAGATAAGGCATGTCAGGTGTTCAGCACAGTGAAGCAATTGGTAAATGATGGCTTTTTTCTTTTTTCCCTCTAAATTTTATTTTGTTCTTCTTGAGAATATATACACAGCAAAACACATACCAATCCAACAGTTTCTGTGTGTACCATTTAGTGACACTGATTACATTCTTCCAGTTTTGCAACCATTCTTACCCTCCTTTTCTAAGTTTTTCCCTCCCTCATTAGCATAAACTCACTGCCCACTGAGGTGCCTATCTGATCTTTTAAATTGCTCTTGTCTATTTAATCCCAAATAGATAGTTCTTAAGAGAGCATAAAAACAATGGGCCTATAAGTTCATGTGAATGATCAGAATTCCCAGGTGTATAGTAGAGCTGACAAGGGGCAAGGTTATGGTCATTGCTTGGTCACAGCCAGCT